TTTTGTAATATGCTTTCTATATCCTTTTAAATTCTGTAAAATCTGTGGTAATGTCTCCTAGATCTTAATATTGTAATTTAAAAAATGTATAACTGATATTGTGTAACAGGAAGAAAAGGTCTAAAAGAGCAGGGGAATTGGGAGGGGTAGGGAGAAAAAAGAGAAAGGAAAAAATATGAGAAGAGGAAAAAAATGAAAACAAGATTTTTGCAAATAGGGAAGGGTGGAGGGGGTGAAGGGAGGGCAAAGGAAGGAGAAAAAAAGTAAGAACCAAGAAATTCATGTAAAGGTACAAGATCTCAATGATGAATGTAACTGTATTGTATACCTAAAATGTACCAATAAAGTTAATGGGAAAAAAAAAAAAGAAAAAAGAAAATCCCCTTAAGCCAATGGGCAGCTGAACTGACCTTGTCAAGCAGTCTTTGGTTCACTATGAGTTTTTATCAGGAACAAGTGTTGGATTTCCTCAAATGCTTCTTTCAACACATGACTTTTCTCCTTTAATCTGTTATTGCAATCATGTACATTAATTGATTTCATAATCTTAAACCTAACATGTTCATGATGTACATATTTAATTAAGACAGGGTTTGGCTTGCTAATATTTTCTGTAGGATTTTAGTAATTACTTGTAACTGATTTTCCTTTGCCATTCGATCCTTGTCAGAGTGTGAAACCAACATTATCCAGCTCTCAAGAAATGAGTTGAGGATTAGTCCCTCTATTTCAATATTCTGGAATAATTTAGATAAAATTGGGATTTTAAAAAATTTCTTAGATGCCATTACAAATTCCCAGTAAAAACCATCTGGGTATACTGATGTACTATATTACATGTTAATATAGAGTATTAAATATTTAACACTATCAACTTCCTTCTAAGAAATAGCCTTCACATTTTAACATTTTTATCAGTACTTCATATACCACTGACCAGGAGGAACTGTGGGCAACTCAGAGCTGGGTAAGGCTGACAACAGGGCCTCTACAGTTTCTATCAGTGCCCCCCCCAAGTACCATGACAGACCCTAGTGCTTACCTTTCCCTTCTTTGCTTTTCTATTTCCCAGTTTTGTTCAGGAATTGAGTGTCTTTTACTTCACAGGCCTCCCAAAGCTATCCTGCAACTCCTAGGAGATATGTTACAACAAATTGAGAACAACAAAGCCAAAAGTTCAAAAGCAACAAGGAACTGATGATGTTACACCCTGCATCTGCATTGCGTCAGATGAGAAACCCCTTACTGTTGAGCCTCCTTTTGCAGATGTTATTTATAGCTGACAATGTGCTGCAGGTGCTGCAGGCCAGCCTCTCCCCTACCGACTGGAATTTGATATCAGAGTTTCTCTGTGGCTTTGCAATATGACCTCCAAATGCTTGGGATGGATCAGTCTGCAGTGATGCTTATGTCGTCTTAGGAAGACCACATTATTCTGTTACATAGCTTTGAAATAATTCAAAATATTGACATAGTTTGTACGTGTTTCTGAGTTTGTGTTATTGCTTGGTTTTGATGTTTTAAGAGTGCAACATCTCATGTGAGTACTTGAGAGTGAACTGGCCTGCTCTTCGGAAATGTGAAGTCATACCTTAGCATACGGAAGTTGCTGATCTCAATTACTGGACTTTACAATATATATCAACTCAAGGGGTTGGAAGACACTTTGAGAGCTTAGGCTATGACAGGCCACACTCTGTCAGCTGTTTCTCTGAATGCAGGTGACACCCTGTTAGATGTGGCGCTAATCTCCAAAGCCTCCCGGCCACCATCAGCAGACCACCATCAGCAGCATTCCCTAGCATTGAAAGACCCCATGTCTTGTCCCAGATCTTCTCTGTGGTGCTCAAGCCAGCTTGTCCCAAGAAGCCCTCATATGAAGGCACCCCTTGACCTTTAATTAGACTTTCCTTTCCACAGAGGGTGGCTTCCATCCTAATTGAGCAATTAAATTTTAATAATTTTAGAACTCAGTCACTATGTGGTTAATACTCTTGCTCTATAGAGTGTCTTTCCTGAGTGTTTTCATTTAAGCAATACCAGGGATTGAATCCAAGGCTTCATGCATGCTAGGCAAGTGCTCTCTCACTGAGCTACAACCCCAGCCCTTTGTTTTATTTAACTGTGTTGTATTGTACTATATTGTACTATGTTGTACTTTCGACAAGGTCTTGCTAAATTGTCCAAGCTGACTTTAAATTTGCAATCATCCTGCCTCAACCTCCCTAGTAGCTGGGATTATAAATGTGTGCCACAATACCCAACTCTTCTCCCCCTGTTGAAGCATTGTGAACCTGAGAAAACTCTGTTGTATGGCAACAAACTGGCATTCATGAAATCATACTTTGTTTACCTTATTTCTACCACATGCAGCATTCTACATTATTCTTTTTTTCTTAGGAACTCAAAAAAAGTTTCTTTAGTAAATTCATGCCAAAATGGTAGATGGTCACAATAAGCCTGTAAGAGAAGAAGCAAAATGAATAAAGTGAGGCGAGAGCTTGTGCCTACCTCGGTGATGATCCAGAGTAATCTCCTGGAAAGCCACATGGCAGGCAAGCAACTTACACAATGTAGGAGCTGAAAACCTTCCCACCACAGGCACCACAACCAGCCATACAGGCACATTGGCATGGTCTTAGCTAAACACCTGCTTTTCTGGAAGACAACATTTCTATTTCATGACCTTTTCTCACTAAATCTTTAGACACTATCTTTAATTTGCATTATTCAATATCCTGAGGTTGCAAATAACTGAAACATTATCTCAGACTAGTTCAAAAAGGCAGAAAGAAGGTGCACAAATTTAATGGCTCACATGAGCAAATTAAGGAAAGGGCGTGTGGCTGTGAGGATTTAGACACCACTGGGATTGTGTCTTCTCCTCTCTGCTTGTCTTTGCATATCTACTCCATTCTTCCAGGCAAGTTTCTTCCTGAAAACAGAACTGGATGGCCAACATCCCAGAAGTGATCACACAAACACTCAGGAGGAAGGGCAAGGGGTCCCCCACCAGCTCCAATGTGAAACTCCAAGTGGGAAACTGGCTGCCCCCACTAAGGTAACATGCTCATTAGTGGATGGTTAAAAAAAAAAAGAGGGTGCTGTGGGTTGAACTATGTCCCTCAAAAAGGTATATTCAAGTCCTAACTTCAGGTATGAGCAGAAATAGAATCTTTTCAGAGTGATCAAGTCAAGATGAGGTTATACTCTACTGGGGTAGGACCTAATCCAATGACTGTTGTCCTTATAAGAACAGGGCAGAGTGAACAAGGATACAAACACAGGGAGACACCATATGATGACAAAAGCAGAGACTGGAGTGATGGAGTCATAGGCCAAGGATCACCAAGGGCTGCCAGCAACTACAAGAAGCTAAGAGAAAAGCATGAAACAGATTCTCCTTCAGTGCTTCCAAAAGGAACCAACCTCCCCAACACCTTGATTTCAAACCTTTAGCCTAAAAATTGTGATAGAATAAAATTCTATTGTAGTAAGCTACCCAGTATGTGGTACAGTATTTTGTTACAGAGGCCTTGGGAAACTCAGATAGAGAGATAGGACACCAGGTTGTTCAGGTGCCACTGCACCAGCTAGGGAAGTGCAATACTATGAATGGCAGCCAGCAATACCCATTGGAGAAGAAAGAGCTGTACCCCAAAGAACAGTAGCTCCATTACTAGAAGAAAGGGGTAGATTGTGCTGGTCAGGCAAGTGCAGAAGCCACTAATATCAATATACACCGTCACCATCTTTGACTAGATTTTTTATTTGTAGAAAGAAAGGAATGTTTTTGCCTTGCAGAAAATATTTATTCCTTCTTGCAAAGATAGTACGCATTCCTTCATCCAAATTTAGGATTGTACAAGTCACTACAATTTGAACAGTTTTATTCTTTAAATAAAGATTAAAGTAGCTTGATTTGCTTTGACACTCAGGAGGCTCGTGGGCTTCATTCGGTGGTGCAGTTCAGCTGTAAGAAATGTTTTATTAATTATAACAAGATATATAAAAAATTAAAAGTAAAGTTCCTGTGAAGCGCATATTGTATATCAGTTACGTATCAGATTTAACCTTTTATCTTAGCAATAAATTCAAATTATGCATCAAATATAATAAAGATCTATTCTAATGAATTGAAATTAGTTGCCATTTTAATGTGCTTTTAAATTATTTTTAATTGCTAACATACTCATGTTAAATAGCCAGTTCAAAGATGGAAAAGAGTTACTCATAAAGAGCAATCTTCAAGCAGACACCATCAGATGGCCTTGTGCTTAAAGATTCTATTTCAAGGCGAGCCCCACTGCAGTTAGAATTGTAATGAGCCACACAGACAGAATTCTTTAACAGCCTGGGCAGAACCCTCTCCACAACCATATTCACTTTTGAAATTCAGACCTTGCAATTGAAAGGTAAAGGTAAAGAGATTAAGCTTATGAATATGCATTCAGAACAGCCAGCCAGCAAAGCACTTCTGGATGTTTCTCATAATAGCCAAAGTGCTGCTTTATGCACTCCATGTATACCAACTAAGTTAATTTTTTAAATACCCCATGGGGTGGTTATACTTAACCCTGATTTTCAGAAGTAAACTGAGAAACAGAAATGATGATGCTTGCCCAGATTCTTAGCTAAGTAGGTGACAAAGTGCAAGGATTCTAACCCAGGCCTTCTACTTCAAGAGCCCAGGCTCCTAACCTGCCTAAGGTAGACATAAAGACCTGAAGCATCCCCTCTTTGATGAGATAAAAACTTTTCCACATGAAATGATACCCAGCAGGGTTTGGTGTCATACGGTGAAATGATTAGTACAGAAATCAACCTAGCAATCAGCAAGGTGTTGGATGCCTACCATAATGTCAGGGAGCATAGTAGAGGAGGTGAGGGGGTCACCCTGGAAGAATAGACAGGGATTGGGTTAGAATGAGCAGAGTCCACATGCTTGCAACCCAGAGAGTCACACTGTCTTCTTTGACACAGAATAGAGTCATCTGTTTCCTTTCACATAGGTTGGAAAGAACCCACAGGTCCCCAGGACATAGGCGACCAAAACCATGAGGATGAAGAACTGTAAACTAGGGTGGCCAACTCAGCCTGGTCTTTTCAAGTTTCAGCACCAAAACCTGAGTCTGGGAACCCTTTGAATCCTGGGCAAAAGAGGAAAGTGAAACAGCCTACTTGTTAAATTCTAATAGGAGAGGGAAATTTTGTTTTTTTGGTTTAAAATTGTTTTTGTTAATATACTGTCTTAGTCACTTTCTCATCGCTGAGCCACAATCCCCAACACCCTTACCTTAAAGAAGGAGAGGTTTATTTTGTGTCACATTTCAGACCATAGCTGGCTGGCTCCAAAGCAGTACCTACTGCGTGCCAGAGAGGAGCAGCAGACAGGAAGCAGGGAGTGAGGGGAGGAGCTGGGAAGGGAGGTGAACCCTCCAGGCCACACACCCATTGACCCACCTATTCCACCTCCTAACAGCAAGTCAGCTATAAATCCCCATAATCTGGTCACCTTCCAAAAGCCACCTATGAGCATGTGAGGCTCTGGGGGACATCTAAATATAAACCATAACATGCATGTTAATATTACATAATATTGGAGTTTATTATGGGAGTTGGTACATGTATTTAACATGTCTTAATTTCAATCCCCCTTCCCCATATGCTCTGCCCTCAACAAAATTATACAGATCCAAGAACAAGAGATGTCTTTCCAAGAAAGGAAGAAAAAAACTGAAAAGAAAGACAAAATAAAGCTTATGCATATAGGGAGAGGTGGAGGGATTGAAGGGAAGGCGGAGAAATGGGAAAAAAATAAGAACCAAGATATATCATGTACAGGTACAAATTCCCAATGATGAATGTGATTATAATGAATACCTAAATTGTACCAGTAAACTCAATAAGTATTAAAAAAAAGAGATGTCTTTCCATTTTCTAATGTCCTCTTTAATTTCTTTCCTCAGAGTTCTGTGATTATCATTACTGAGGTCTTTCACTTCCTTGGTTAGGTTAATTCCTGTGTATTTAATTTTTTAAGCTATTGTGGATGGAATTGTTTTTCTAATTTCTTTCTCAGTGGATTCATTATTGGTGTTCAGAAAAATGTTTGATATTTTTATGTATAAATCTGTTTTATTGGTACATATTAGATGTAATGATAACATAATGATAACATTCATCATAAGGAATTTGTACCTATACATAATATATCTTGCTCCTTATTTCTTTCCCATTCCCATCCCTTCCCCTCAATCCCTCCACCCTCCTTATTTACAAAAGCTTTGTTTCCATTTTTTTCCTTGTATTCTCTTTTTTTTTCTTGTCCCTTCTTTCTTTTCCCCAGGAGAGGGAAATCTCTTTCGAAACATCTTAAAACCTATGCGATGCAAATTTAGACTATATAAAGTGACCCCTTATGATGGTTAATTTTATATATCAATTTGACTGGGCTAGGGGATGCCCAGAGAACTGGTATAACATTTTTAAGTGTGTCTGTGAGGTGTTTCCAGAAGAGACAGTTGAATACTCAGTAGACTGAGTAAAGAAGACCTTCACCACCAAGTGGCTGACATCATCCAATCTACTGAAGGCCCTAACAGAGCCCAAAGATAGAGGAAGTTGAATATCCTCTTTGTAGCTAGAACATCCAGCTTCTAGTGTCTTTGGATATCAGGTTCCTGATTCTTAGACCTTCAGACTTGGACTTGGACGTATACCACTGGTTCCCCTAGTTTTCAAGGCTTTAGACTCAGACCAGATTTTCTGGTTTTCCAGCTCACAAATTATGGGACTTCTTGAGATCTACAATTGCATGAGCCAGTTCTTGTAATATATTATCTCCTATTCATTCTGTTTCTCTGGAGGATCTGACTAACACATCCCTCAAAAGACTATAATCACTGCAACCACTGAACCTGAGTATCTCTGGCACTGCCACATAGAAGCTGTAAGATCTGGAGGAATCACCTCATCACTCTGAATCCACTTTCCCTACCTTAAAATTAAAGGTTTTAAGTTAAACTTGAGTACACTGCTCATCACCGACATATTATTTGCAAGTTAACATCAATGTTAGAGAAGAGCCACTGATCCTATACACACACACACACACACACACACACACACACACACACACCTATGCACACCTATACAAATTTTTCTTATTTAGGGGGAAAATTCATGTTAAACATTATTTTTCCTTTAAGATATGAATTAATTTGAGCTACACTGTAAGATCAATGTAATCCTTGAGGGTATTTTTTACCATGATTCTTCTAGATTTTTTTTATTCACATATGTTTGGAGTACATGATGCTTACATTCATCTTAAGGAATAGGTAAATGTACTGAATATAACTTGATTCTTTTTATTTCCTTCCCCTCCTCACCCACTTCCCTCCCTCTATCTCTAGATCCCCTTTCCTCTTTTTTATTATTTTTTTTTTTTGGTACCA